TACTTAGCTATGCTGCCAGATAAGCAGATAACCTGAGATCAAACAAGATTCGCCAAACCAAATCACTAAATTATTATCTCTAGAATATAACTATCGAAATTGAAATCATTAAGACTACTTTCATTCAAAATAAGGATGAAAAACTTACTTTTGACGCATTGTTTTTATTCCACTGAGGAATATATTGAACATTTCAGACTTTGTAGGGAATACAATTCGTCTCGCCCAATTTTCCAATCTTATGTAACTTTCTATGGTTTTTTAACTATCGTTTCTTGTTCTAATATTATTTTCAAAAATTACATTATATTACAGTATAGGTTATATTCTAACAATGATTATTCTACGGTATTGTTTTTTTTTAATATGACATACTACAAACAAATTTGTATTGTAATGTAGTCAAATAAATATATTCCTATTTATTCTACTTCTCAATGTTTATACAGAAAATGTGAGAATCTTCTATAGAAAGGAAAACAGTAATTGATTTCGAAATGAACTCTTCACAAAGAGGTGCAGATTATGCAAACGAGTAATTCCCAGACTCAAACTGAAAGAAGAACTTCTCTCGAAACATTCCTTATGGATTTGATTCAGACATCATTCTCAGGATTGCTACACAATGTCATTTATGAAAGAGGTAAAAACTCACTTACATGGAACATTGTCATTCTCAAAGGTGAACATCAATGTTTTGGAATGAGACCATTGTCTAATTACCTCTTCAGTATCAATCTGGATAACATTACAAGATCAAGCTCTCAATCCATTCATAAAATTACGACCTTATATCACGAATGAGTTGAATCTACTCATGACATTCATTCGCAAATTTGATTCAACCGTAGCCGTGGGAAAGGAGTATATTTTTAGAAGAGATGACATGAGTAAATTCAAGTAGTTCATGACATAAGGTCGTTATTCAATCAGTGGATTGAGTACTCTATTTTGTTATGTTATGTAAGTTGGTGCTGGAGAGTTAATAAGTGTCTCATTCTAAAACATTGATGTCCACCATTGAGGATGACAGTGTTCCACTGAAATTTCTTTCAAATACGATCTTGTGTAACAATCCTGTCAAAGATATTTGAATCAAGTCCATAATGAATGTGTGCAGTACAAACTGAACAGAAAAACGTTCTTTTTGTATAACTCAATGTTCGCATAAAAGTAGTTGTTTTGAAAGTATTTTTATTTCGTGTGATTCAATGTTTGATTGAAACATGAACATTTACAGTTAGTTTCCTATCTGATAGGTAGATAGATAGATAGATCTTTATTGTCTAAAATGGAATACAATTTGTCAACAAAGGGTCATGTTTGTAGATACATAGAATGTTAAAAATATATGAACTGTTGTTTTTTTAAAGACTCCATAGTATTCACAAAAATACAGTGAATATTAAAAATGACAGACAAAAAACACAATAAAAAACATCAAAGATAAGATAAAAAGAAATATTATCAATAAAAAAAAAAAACATGATTATAATATTACTTGAGATAAATCGTAATATACTTCGTGGTATACCAAAAGACTAGAATTTGTATGCGAAATACTGTTCCAAACTGTAGAAGAACTTTCCCAACCCAAGGTTCTTTACTGATTTTCTGAATCCTTCAAGTTCATTAATTGATATAATATGTTTTGGTAGATGATTACATATTTGTCTACTTCTATAGATTTGAGACTGGCTGATCGAAGACCATGTAGGCAGCGGTAGGGCTTTCAAACTTTTCTTTGTGTTTGTGAAGTAAGCAAAGGGTTTCTAGAATGAATATTTCATTCACTACACTACTGCGTGACTACACTAGTCACGCATCTTCAATTTGAATATTATTCTCAAAACTGTTTTCTGGATAACTAATATACTCTGCATCAAAATCTGGCTGCCTGAGCCCCAGAAAGGAATTCCATACCGGAGATGAATCTCCATAAGTGAATAGTATACATTTATTGCTGCCGAAAATCCGAGTTCACAAAATATGACATTTTTGGCAAAGCAACCAGAAGATAATTTTTTTCAGCACTAATTTACTGTCAATGAATATACCAAGAAATTCAGTTACAGGCTCACTTTCAGTCATATGTTCACCTAATATTACTTGTTCTAAGTCCCACTTCAACGTTATCAGATTTGTTTTAGAATCATTCAGCGATAGCATATTCGATTCACACAATTTTTTTATTTTTTCTGAATTTAACTGGACAAACCGAGTCAAAGTATCAGGATCTTTATTACACCAAAATACCGTAGTGTCATCCGCAAACAAGGTGAATACTACAGATATATCAAGTTTTGTCATATCGTTAATATACAGGGTGTAACTAAATAAGTGTAAAACATTTAAGGAGGTGATTCCTTATCGAAAAAAAGATAGGATCTTTCAATATAAAGAAATGTCATTGGAGCATCCCTTGTTAAGATACAGCCCCTTAAAGGGGGGTACATAAAATTTGTATAATATTTTTTTTCACAAGCACTAAAAAAATTACAATATTGAAATTAACGTGACGTTTTTTTTCTACCAAAAAGACACTTAGTCAGGAATTCATTTGGTTTACTCCATGGTTGTAAGGGGTGGAAAACGCAACCCCTAAAGTTTATTTCCAATGTAACTTTATGTCTTATTATTTGTTTACCATATAAAAATTCATTTCCGATAGCCTGTTTCATTCTTAACAAAAAATGTCTCCTGGGTTTTTTGCCCTAAATAAACCAGTTCGCAGCAAAAAATTATTTTAGAAACAACTACAGAGATACATCGTTATAAATGCGAAAATACGAAACTAATCTAACTAGTAGGTCGCTATTAGCGATAGTGACAATTGAATTGGTATGACGCTATCAGTTTGTGAATTTTCGAAATTGAATTAATACTAATTGTGTGTTGTTGTTCTGTTCTTAATTTGTTACTTCACTAATTCACTTGTTATTAAAATGGCATACACAAATGAGGAAATGGCTGATATGCATTACGTTTACGGTCTGTCGCAGGGGAATGGGTTAGAAGCTTCTAGAAGATATGCTGAAATGTATCCTCAACAGCAGCATCCTTCACATAGAATATTTGCTCGACTTCATCAACGATTAAAAGAATATGGTTCATTCGATAAAAGAACGCAGGATTGTGGTCGCCATCGAGAAGTACGAACACCACAGCTTGAGGAAGTAGTACTTAATTTGATTGAAGAACAACCTACCACCAGTACTAGAAAGATTGCTTTCCAGCTAAATGTTGATCATATGACGGTATTTCGAATTTTAAAGGAACAACTCTTATACCCTTACCATCTGCAACGAGTACAGGCACTGTTACCGCGAGACTTTCCGAACCGTCTTGAATTTTGCAATTGGATGCTGGAAATGATTAGAAGAAATTGTAACTTTCTGAAGACGATAGAATTCACAGACGAATGTAGTTTTTCCCAGAACAAGATTATTAATTTTCATAATTACCACATATTCCACATATATTCATACCATACCATTCATACCATCAAGAAGAGTTTTCTCCTAACGTGGGCTCGGAGTTATTGGGAATGATTCAGCTGGGCCTCATTTTCTACCTCTTCGATTAAATGGTGGGGCATACGTTCAATTTTTAAGAGAAGTGCATCCAGTACTGCTGGAGGAAGTTCCTTTGGGCATCAGAAGGGATATGTTTTTTATGCATGATGGGGCTCCCGCCCATTTTAGTCAAGTAGCACGTCAGCATTCAACCGAAACATAATATGCAAATATGTGGATAGGTCAAGGAGGACCACAGAACTAGCCTGCTCGATCCCCGGATCTCAATCCTCTCGATTTCTCTATTTGGGACCATTCACAGCATTTGGTTTATCGTACTCCTGTTCGCGATGTGTGCAGGGTAATCAGAGAGACTCCAGGAATATTTGAGCGAATACGTGGCTCAATGCGCCGACGTCTAGACGCATGCGTACTGTCTGAAGGTAAACATATTGAATATTTACTATGATTTCTACATGTTGTGTGTTTTGTTAATAATAAATAAGTTTTGTTTATTACCCTTTGATCGTTTAATGCAGGTACTAACTACAAAATAACAATAAATCCATTTCGCATTCATGACGATGTATCTCTGTAGTTGTTCGTAAAATAAGTTTCTGCTGCGAACTGGTTCATTTTGGGCAAAAAACTCAAGAGACATTTTTTGTTTAGAATGAAACAGGCTATCGAAAATAATTTTTTTAATGGTAAACAAATAATAATACGAAAAGTTACATTGGAAATAGATTTTAGGGGTTGCGTTTTCCACCCCTTCACAACCATGGGGTAAACCAAATAAATTATTGGCTAAGTGTCTTTTTGGTAGTACAAAACGTCAGGTTAAGTTCAATATTGTAACTTGTAACTTTTTCAGTGCTTGTGAAAAAATTTGTTATACAAATTTTATGTGAGTTTTTTTATATGAAAGATCCTATCTTTTTTTCGATGAGGAATCACCTTCTTGAATGTTTTACACTTATTCAGTTACACCCTGTATAGCAAGGGCCTAGGACTGACCCCTGAGAAACTGCGCGTACAATTTTTCACTATCAGAAGTGTTGTTAATATAAGTTGTTGTTGATATGAGTATTTTCTAACTACACATTGACTGAATGACTTTTCTAATGAATTTTGTTCATGGCTTCCTCGCATTCTTGCAGATGGTTATTTACAAGTTCAATCAACAAAAGTGACAGTAATCACGTACAATTTGTATAGAAAATTATTTTGTTGGAACGGTTTCATGATAAGTTGGGAAGAAAATCACGATTAGCTCATGAATCGGAGACTTCCAAATGATTAATGGGTTGGTAAACTTACTTGTTTACAAAAATTAGGATTTAAAAAAAAATGATAATCAGATAATATAAAAGTGCATCAATAATTGATTCTTTGTTTGTTTGAAGGTGATTGACAATGTTTCGTGATGAATTTCACTAGTTCGGACTTCCATTGTCTACTATATAAAATGTTTGTTTGTTACAGTGAGTGGCGCACATCTATCATATCCTCCTTTGAAATTGGGAACTCCGATGGTATTACTTTTTTGTCTACTTCCTCGACTCGGTGAGTAACTAATTATTTTCGTGGAAAGGTAATTTTTTTTCCAAAATTAGACTACCTATTAGGTGTACCTAGCATCTTACAGTTGTCACTTTTATATTCGTCACGTGATTTCTAGTTTTTGAATTTCAAGTTTAGTGATGTTATAAATAATCAGAGTATCGAAAAACCATAATATTCTTTTAGTTGGCATTCCGACTGAAGAGAAGTTATCCGAATATGAGTATCTGATAAATCGATCATTCGAATGGATAAACAAAAAATATTTCCAAAGTTTAAACTTGTGAATGAAAAAATCCAATAAATCCTAACTTATTCGCCATGACAATTCCAATATGTCCTGAAGCGTAAGACAAGGTCAATACTGCAGTTATACCGGAAATGGTTTGAATTACTCCACTGGTCTCATTATGTTAATATACAGTGTGACCCATTTTTAATGGAAACACCCCCTTAAAATTTGAAGTTGTAAATCGATTTTAATAAATTTTTTTTAAATGTCAAGTACCAAAAGGTCTACCTTGGGACAAAATTTGAAATGTTTATCGAAGTTTCAGGGCATACTACGATATTTTTTCTTATTGTCATTTCACAGCATCGGTTTCGATAACAGTTGATGTCGGTTGCAAAATTCTCTTGTTTGTAATGTTCTTTGTTTTGATAAGAAATTGGTTCTTATGAAATCAAGAGGCTGATACTTTTCTGTAAAGTTATTTATTGTCACAGGTTAATAGGATCCCTTTCAAAATAAAAAAAAAGAATACAATATATAATTATTTCAAGATAAATTCAATATTGTGTGGGCTTAACGATTCTACCACTCCTCGTTTGGTAATGACTGGAACTTGAGTTCGAGGCAGACATTGATTCATCAGAACGCATATTACTATCTTGACTTGTTCCTTTCATATAATTTGTTTTTCACCCCTTCCAATGAGAAGTGAGGTATCAATATTTCTTTAACTACTGAAAGCGAAGATCTCAGTTTTCTTCCTATGAGAAGTTCACTAGGAGAAGGTATGTCCTGTTTTGTGGTTGTAATATAATTCAATACCACAATGAATAGGTCCTTCTTATCTTCAATAGATTCACGCAAAAAACATTTCTAGCGGTAAACCGTGAGTTACGAAAATGTTTTTCAAAGTTGAAATGACAGCTGTCGCTGTTTTACTCATCACTATGTTGACTACTGCAAACTTACTAAAATAATCAACCAGAACCAACAAGTTTGAGTTATTCAAAGACATGAAATCAATGCCCAGTTTCCACCATGGATATCCTTTGATTTCAAGATGCGTTAGAGTCTGTCTTTGATTACTTCTTGCATATTTTTGACACCATTTTCTCGATGTCATCTGTTAATGCCGGATAATATATTGAATCTTGGCTCGTTTTTTGCATGAAATGATTCCTTGATGTGATTGATGAATCACTCCTAGCAGTTCATCTTTCAAACAAAATGTCATGTTGAAAAAAAATATAGTTTCTTATTGGCCAAAATTTTTTGACATCATTTGGTACCCTACTTTTGTGATCAAGCCAACCCTGTCGCACAAAAAAAAAATCAATTTTTGTAATAATTCGTCTTCTGAAATAACTTTTTGCAACATTTTCTCATTCTCTCGTTCAATAGCTAGAATAGAGAATACTTTGAGGTTATTTTCCAAATACTCCACCATGAGGAAGTCAGAAGTGGAGTCTCTGCTACATACATTTCTTTCCCTGGCACATATTTTGAAGTAAATTAATATCTGAGAAGTTGAACGTTGAACGCTGAATTCGAGGAGGTAATTCATCTAAAGGCTTTTTTAATAACCCAAGTAATGGTCGATGGTCCGATTCTATGATAAAGGCTTGTCCAAATAGATAGTAATGGAACCTTCCACATCCGTAGACCAAGGCTAATAATTCCTTTTCGATACAATTGTAGTTTTTTTTTGAGTATCAGTCAGTGACACTGATGCGAAGTCGATTAGTTTATTATCTTGAAATATACAAGCACCAAGCCCATAGGGACTTGCATCCACAGATAACACGGTTTCCTTTGATGGATCAAAATAAGACAAAAGTGGTTGCAGACCACACGAGACGTTTGAGTTTATCAAAGCACTTTTGTTCATTTTCAGTCCAAATCCCCACGATTCTAGCACTTAGTGATTTTCTAAGTTGATTGGTCTCTTGAGAAAGATTAGGTAAGAGTTTTGACAGGTAAGTGATCATTCCAAGAAATCTTTGAAGTTCTTCCTTGTTTCTGGGTGAGTGCATTTCTTGGATAGATTTAGTCTTAGTAGGATCAACTGTTATTCCTTCTTCACTAATGATGTTTCCAAAATATTGAATTTTATTAACACGAAATTTTGATTTTTCCTTATTCAAAGTTGAGCCACTATCTTTGATTTCAGTGATAACTATTTTCAAATTCAAACTGAGTTTCTACTATTTGTCTTTGAGACCCTATGCATAAAGCCAAAGTTTTATTTGGATTGATTTTCAGTCCATGATTCTCCGAGTATAGAAATTTTTTTTGCGAATCTGTGTTTATATTGGCCACGCAACTTTCTATATCGGTGTTATGAGAAGACAAATATAACTGTATATCATCTGCGTATAGATGTTCTTGACAATGTGATGAGAAAGTTGGTTATTCAAAACTGAAACATCAAGGGTCCTAAAATACTTCCCTGCGGTATACCTGAAATTGTTTCTTTTAGGGATGACCATGAGTAATTATCCAGTTTGACCCTAGTTCATTTTAGTTTATCATTAGTTCATCTAGTTTATTTTTGACCTTCGATTTCAAGGCCATGGCAATTTTATGCGGTGCACTCACGCATGGAATCGCGTTGTCACCCAAAGTTATTCTATATTGACGATTAATTTTGCCAATGCCAATAAAAACCGATTGATGTGATTCAAGTATATACTGTAATTCATTATTCTCGATTACACTAACATCACGAACATTTTCATGATAAATTTAATCTTTGTGTGGGCTTAACGATTCTACCACTCCTCGTTTGGTAATGACTGGAACTTGAGTTCGAGGCACACATTGATTCATCAGAACACATCGTACTATCTTGACTTGTTCCTGGAATAGGATCTTGTACATCTGGATACTTTTCGGGAAAATACTCATCCTGCTTGAGAGAAATAGATGGTCTGAATGGTTGTCTATTTCTTCTATACTCCGTTTTGTTAATAAGAACATTGTAATCATCATTTCATGATTTGTTAGTTATAATTCCAGGCTCCCATTCTCTAATATGTTTTTGGACTGTTACAGGTTGGTATATATCAAGCTCGGGTATTTTTTTTTTAGTTCCCGCATCATAATATTGTTTTTGCAAATTTTGTCTTTCACATAATTCATTTCTCACCCCTTCCGATGAGGAGTGAGTTTTCAATATTTCTTTAACTACTGAAAGCGAAGATCTCAGTTTTCTTCCCTTGAGAAGTTCACTAGGAGAAGGTATGTCCTGTTTTGTGGTTGTATTATAATTCAATACCGCAATGAATGGGTACTTTTTATCCTCAATAGATTTATGCAAAAAACATTTCTAGCGGTAAACCGTGAGTTACGAAAAGTTATTCTATATTGACGATTAATTTTGCCAATGCCAATAAAAACGGATTGATGTGATTCAAGTTCATATTGTAATTTATTATTCTCGATTACACTAACATCACGAACATTTTCATGTCCAGGCAATATTTTCAATAACGTTATCGCGTCTAGTCCCAAAATCGAGCATGGTTTATTGGAGCTCAACACATAGAACAAAATTTTTCTATTCACTGATTTGTAGTTGCAATTCGAATATAAAGGTCAACAACACCAATTGAATGATCTGAATAAGATGGCAAATTAGAATTAGTGTGACTAAGTGCCTTATCATCGATTCGCAATTTTTTAAAGTCACTGTAGTTCAAAATATTAACTTGGCTACCAGTGTCTATTTTTAAATTCAATGAATGTCCACCGAAATTCATTTTTTCAAACCATTCCACTGCATTACTGTCAGTTTCATTGGTAATAAACCACACTATTAAATTAGGATCACGCAAGAGTCACGATTCAAATTTTCAATATCATCAGTTTCTTGCACTATTTTATGTACCCCCGATTTAATGTAAGGGCAAAATTTTCTATAATGTCCTTTTTTTATAAAGACTGCATATTCTATTGAAGGCAAGACACTTACCGAATTGGTGAAAACCATCACATCGATTACATCTTTTATTCACATTACCAACTGTTCCTGAAGCAGATTTCTCGAAATGGCGAGTGTTTTTTCTTGGAGCACCCCCTTGTCCGAATAATCTCTCAAAAGAAGCTGAAGTAGATGCTTTGTTGTTGTTACTTGTACTATTATTTCTGCAATAATGTTTATTCACTGCATTCACGTTCACAGAGTCTTTCACGATTTGTTTCTGAGTCAACATGCTATTTTCCATCGCACGATACGTAGTAATAGCATCGTTCAAAGATCAGGTTTTTGGAAAAGTTTTTCTAGAATCTGCGAGTCACGCAAACCTAGTACAACTCTGTCTCGCAGAAGAACGCCTTTTTCCACAAATTCACAGGTCGATGCTAGTTGTCGAAGAGCAGTAATAACTGATCAAACGATTCACCAGGAAGTTGATCCCTCTTGAAAAATTTATAATGTTCAAAAACAAAATTTTTGATGGGGTTACAATACTGGTCGAATTGTCCGACAACGACATCCAGTTTATTTTTATCTTTTTTTGGTGCATATTCAAATGTATTATAGATTTGTATTGCTTCTACACCCAACAAACTCAATAAAATGGCAATTTTGACTTCATCTGGCTTGCTATTTTTTCCGCTAGCCATCAAATATAATTCAAATTGTTGTTTGCACAACTTCCAATTCGATGAGATTTCACCTCTGATTGACAATTCTTCAGGTGTTCTTAACGGTTCACCCATTTTTTCAACTGTACCCATTTTTATGCCCAGACTTCAAAAATTCACCAAA